GATGCTCACGCCAACACTTACATGTCTATAGTTATCTAACTTAAGGAGCAGCCACTCTTGGCTGTACTGAATGTTTGCCCGACTGCATATTGACACACCAATACAATTGCAATTGCATCCAAGTAAATAGAGAACGATTACAAGGACTAGTTGCATCATATTATCCACATGTTTTGTGAGGCCACATTTTTTTGTCCCACCTCGAATAAAGAAACACATTGTTTGCTTCGTTTTCTGTGCGTGTGGAGGGGGAGAGGAACAAAAACATCATTTCTTAGTTTATGAGGCATAACCAAACACCAAATAAATCAAAATTTCCTTTTCCTTGATGTTTTGTGTTTATGAAATACGATGCCGGAATTGAGCGGTTATCCCAACTAATTATCACAACCACAGCTCATGCCAATCCTGTCTGTTCGATGAGATGAATAAGTATAGTTCGTGTTCATTATGTTGTCGGTGTTGTTGTGTCTAAGTGGCTATGGGTGTGCTAGGGTGTGTGCATGTGTGATATTATATCCCTAAATGGCTGGTGATTATGTGCGATGTGGTTGGTATACGCTGTCGTTACTGTCTGTTTGATATTTTGGCTACACTCGGCGTTTATTAAACCGCCAAGTCGTCGGAGGCGCCACAGGAAAACTCAATAGGTTTACATATGTAGATGTGCATTATGCGAAGATATAATCTCCGTGGAGCTTATGTCGTTCCCTTTCAAACAATGCCATGCTAATTAAATGCAAATTCAAGCCAATGTTACACAGCTATTAGCAATCAATTTTACAAGAAGATTACACAGTTGGAAGCTTTGTGGATTTTTAACAAAGTAGATGAACTTCCATTAGTGGTTAGCGGTACAATGAATAGTTTGCAACATCCTCCACTAGTGATGAGTTATTTTAATGAAGAAAATGATGTCTAAAATTCTATGTCTAAGAACCACATGGGTTGTGTATTTTCTTTACTCATTGATAGATGATGTTGTAAAGTAATGGGATACAGAGAAAAATTTACTTTTGAAAAGATAACAACACAATATGGTTCAAAATCAAGTATTCCCTTTACGAAAATCACTCTAGCTTCCGAACAAATTGAAGTAGGTTGATAAAATTTTACTCAGATGTGTGTTTGGTCTGCAGGACTTTTGGTATTGAAAATGGCTCCACGTTTAAGTATATAGGTATGGCCCCAATATAACGGTACCTCCCTATATTTGCTATTTTGACGATTTTAGAGACATTACTCTCCGAAATTTTTTTAAATTCCGGATTGTAAGTTCGCAATTGATTCTACAGCCCATGACAGAAAATTTACTGTGCAGGCCCCTATCTAAAGCAAAAACATCAAAATACGAAATATAAGGAGGTGTATTCGGAACTTTGATGTTTTTGCAACATTTTGACGTTTTTTCAACAAAACTTGACTATGAAGGTGCGAGTCTCCGTATATACCCGAATAAAACGATAACTCCATATACTCTGCATTTTATGATTTTAACAGTATTTTCAATGTATCTTTATACCCTAAACCACATGGTGATAAGGGTATTATGTCTTTGTGAATTTGTTTGTAACATGGAGAAAGAGGCAAGATAGACCCATCGTTACTTTTGAGGGTCTTCATAGAATCACTTTCTGAGGCGATTTATGCATGTCAGTCAGTCAGTCTGCCCGTTCGTCCATGTTTTTTTTTGTGAACAAAATACAGGTCGAATTTATTTTCCGATTGAGATGGAGTTTTCAAACAATATTGGTTTAGCTCAAGGATGAATCCTATTGAAATTGGTGAGAACCGCTTAAAATTAAGATATAGCTCCCAATTTTTTTTTTCAACCGATTTCGGGTTACTTGTGCACCAAATGGACAATATCAATCCAAATGACGGGTATTTTGCCACATTCGACAGAATCCAGTCTAGTAGCAAGTATACCAAATCGGTTCGGATATAGCTCCCATATGCAGGGTGAGATGAAAAACTGCAACAAAATTCAGACTGATGCCATTTCTAAGCCACTCGTCCGTCAAGTGTTAAAATTATTCCAGTGACAGCTCATTGTATTGTTTACAAGCGTACAAAGGCATTTTGATGAGAATTTTCCAGAAAAAAAGTTATTCGTGATGGAATTCAAGCGTGATAGTGTGATGTCCTTATATTTGGCTGGAAAATCACAAGTGGCTATCATTAGAGAACTCCAGCATTTAAATGTAAACAGATCTCGTGAATAAATCGTTACCGTGATACTGGTAGCGTAAACCGACGTCAAGTGGACGAAACAGCAACATCAACAGAAATTGTTCGAAAAGTAAAGAAGCGACTTGATCGAAACCCGCGTCGCAGTGGTCGAAAAATGGATCGTGTGCTGAACTTTCGGCAAATATTGAAAAATAAGCTCGGGGTAAATCCATTGAAATTCCAAAAAGTGCAAGAACTTACACCGCAACAGAAAGAAAATAGACTCAAAAGAGCTAAAGAGTTTCTTCGCTTGGCCGAAAGTGGTGAACAACCGAATTCGGTTTTGTTTTTCGATGGGAAAACATTCGTTGTCCAGCAGTTTGTAAACAAACAAAGTGATCGTGTTTATTTGCGCACCTTATGTGCACCTTCGGCTGACTACCAGAACTCTGGCGCCGGCCATGGAGATGGTGTGGGCCGCCATAACAGCCGATGGTCGCTCTCCGTCGTGGCATCAGAATAAATGCACTCAGCACGCGCCACCCAAGAATGTTTACAAAACGAGGTTCCTCGCTACATTTCCAGCGCATAATGACCACCAAAATCTCCGGATACCAATCCGTTGGACTGTTGTGTCTGGTGTATTTTGAAAAGCAAAGCTGGCACTAAAAAATAACAAAGTGTCGGTCACCTCAAGCAAGCGTTTCGCCGGGAATGGACCAAAATACCGCAGAACAACATTCAGCGTGTGACGGATTCATTGGCCATAATTCGTCACCAATTCGAACAAAACTAAACTTATTCTAAAATTGGATGCTTTTTTCGAAATTTATTTGCTTTCATTCAATAAAATTAGAAACAATTGTAAAAGTTATGGCGTTTGACTTTGTTACAGTTTGGAAGGCTTCTGCCTAGCTCTAAGCTCTAGCCCCATGCTAACATCGGGGTCGATTGGTCAATAATTGCGACCTATAGAGCAACTGCTAAATCAGGAAAATTTTCAGGTCAATTTCAAACCCTAAATATTATCCCATAATCTCCAAAAGAAATAGGCTTTTATCCTGAGCATAGGACATACATAGCTAAATCGTACCAGCTCTGCGAAACCCCTATGTGGGAAACCAATGTTTCGTGGTGTTACACATTTACATCTTTCCCCACTTGTTTTGCTTTCGTTCTACCTGAACGAAGTAGCATAACCATGGAAGTTGGTTTTTGGCCGTTACAAGAAAAACCCCTTCGTCGACCGTGCCTTGTCTATTAATATAAGAGTTTATAAGTGCGGTTGTAAGATTTAGACGATTTTCCAAAAAAAAAAAAATAGTTTTATTTAATTTTTTGGTTTCTCTTCTATTGAGCTTACGATCTCGTCACTTGGGTAAAAATGTTTTTTTTTTTGTCATATAAGTTATTTTTAAAATTCTGGGGAGAATATCCCAGACAATATCAGTAATCTTGATAAGGAATGGTGGCTCTTTCCGAAACCTAGGTATTCGCTGCCTTACCCCCTGGTAAACATTACCATCGTTCACCACTAATAAACAAACGTTGTTTTTATAAAAACAAAAAAAAAAAAAAGGTTAAGCCTATCCATTTTGCAACAACAAAATACTATGGTATGTCGAACAAACAAAGCCAACACTGTTGTAATTTTTTTTTTATAAAAGTATTTGAATTCAAAACTGTTCCACATTAAACTACGAATACCAGTGAGACCGTTTGGATAATGCTGTAAAACTTTTCAAAAAAAACCATAAGGTGGGAGACGCCGTTATATGGGGGCCATACCAAAACAGGAACCTCTATAGACGATTTAATATTTCAAGGATTGTCATCTACCAACTATTCTTAAATACCAAATTTGAAACAATTTCGTGGTTAAATGTGACTAGGATTATCAAAATGCCGAATATCGGTAGATACCGTTATATGTGAGCTGTAGAAAAACGTGGATCTATTTATACTAAGTTCCGCCACCCGAGCTAGAACCCATTATGAACGACACATTTTGGCAAATATCATAAAAATACCGAATGTCGGGAGGTACTGTTGTTTGGCGGCAACAAGAAAACGTGGACCGATATATATCATTGTCAATACCAACCAACCAATGTACAATAAAAATAGTTCTGCCAAATTTTGAAGCTCTATGTCAAATATTGTGGCCTGTATCGTGATTTCTGCAGACAGACAGACGGACATCGTTAAATCGACTTAGAATTTTAAGCTGATCATGAATATATATACATTATGCGGTCGCTCACTTTTCTAGTTGGAGGAAATAAAAAGTACACGAAGCTAAACATATCGTATCTCTAATCCACGCTAAAAAATCCGCTAAAAAATTAAACTGTTAATAAACTGCAAAATATTTACTTCAGAATGTTTATTTGATCAATTTTAAGTACGATCCCTCCCGGTCCATTTGGAAAACAACAACAAATACATTTCCTTTTGAAGATCAACCAATAGAAGATCTTTACGAACTAAATACCTCAATTTTCATCAGAGTGAAAGAGATGGCAATGCAACCAAATTAAATGAAATGATCGCCAAAGAATGTGCTGCAAGAGATCCACACAAAATGGGAGGTGGCGATACTGGTATCCAGCAGGCAAGACATTCTAATTGGGAGGATGCTGCCGATGATGTATATTTAGACTGGTGCCTTATCCGTATTATCTCAGAATGAAAAGAAAAGAAACGAATGATCTATGCCTGTGGATGAAAAGTGAATTTTCCTTTTCATTCGTTGTTCAAAAAAATAATTTGGTTTGTGCGCTCGGATTTTTTTATGTTTTTGAAAATAATTTCAGTAGTCAGTTGACTTTAGTATAGTTTAGTATTGCGACGACAATTAACTTAATTAACTTAATTGTGTATTTTGCTAATTGTTAATTCAATTAGTTGAAGAACCCACAAATAAGACAAAATATACACAAAAAACGGTACGATACGATACGGCACGTTCGGGATTCGATAATAAAAAAGAACGGTTAAAGGTCTTTGATTTTTTAATTCAATCGAATAAAAAAAGAAAACGAAGAAAATAAATGTTCAAATATCGACACTAAATTAAATTGCCGACCATAGACAACAAGGAAAAAAATTAGTAGCCCTGGCTGATTAACCTCGACGGAATTTAACAAAAGTGTGAAAATAAAATTGTGGTGAAATTAGAAAAGACGGCCGCCAAAAAGGAAATCTGCAGGCGTGTGTGTGTGTGATTGTGTCATTCTCAATAGCAAAGAACAACGTAGCCAGTTGACAATTTTCTTAATTAATTGATACATAATTAAGTTATTTTCCCCCCAATGCTAATTTGTTGATTAGCACGTCGCTGTGGTCCAAGATTGATTTATTTTAATAGCGTAAGGCATTTAAGTTGATAGCCGCAACACAAACAACAACAACAGCAATTATGCTTAATTATCAACAGCATCAAATGTCCACACTTGTGGCCACAATGGCTGGCGATAATGGCAGCTCGGCGACGGCAGACGCGGCCACAACTTCTTCTGGTGCAACTCAACCTTTTTATTCTGCAACGTCACTGCATCAACGGCAACAACTGGAGCAACAACAGTCACATCAAACATCATCAACCTCATCGCCAATGGCCACCACCTGTTCCTTGGCCACGTCAACTTCGCTACAGTCCAATAATAACAATTACATTAACACATCGCAGTTATCAACAGGTTTGGCAATGGCGACGGGACCTGCAGGCCTTAACTCAACAACACCCACAACCAGTTCCTCCTCCTCATCCGGATCCATGACCCTGCCATCACCTGCAGCTGCATCAATCTATCACCAGCCACAATTATGCAACAGCAAACCATTGTCGTCGCCATCGGCCTCATTATCGGCAAAACTTTCAAATTCTCTGACATTGACCGCCTCGCCGACGGCAGCGATTTGTTCACCCTTCCTCTTCGACAAGGGCTCGGATAATGTGAAACGTTTCTCTGTTAACAATTTGCTGGACATGGCCGCCGTCCAGGACAGTCCGCATCACCATCATCATCACAATCTTATTACGAATAAACTGCAAATGCATCATCAACAACTCCACCTTGAATTGCAACAGCACCAGCAGCAACAAAATCAACAACTGTCCATCATTTCGTCATCGCCTGGGGATAATTTAGGTATGTTTTGTTAAGTGCGTTGTTTTTTTTTTTTTCGAATTTTTACATAGATTGTTCATTTGGAAATACAATTAGAATTTGGGATTACGCATTTGCAATGAATCGATAATAATTGTTAGTGACAGGAAAAATGGAAGGACATATTCTGGTAGCTATTTAAAAATAAGCTTTGGAATTGATTAAGGTGATAATTATTGCATTCTAGAAGAAAGAGTTGTTCCTCATTCTAATTATTAAAAAAAATGAGCCTTCATCAATGTACGGACTGAAATATATATATTAATGATTAGCATAAAATCCAAATCGATTTAACGATGTCCGTCAGTCTGTCTGTTGATATACCTCACATTATTTGACGTAGAGCTTCACAATATTGCAGAACAATTTATATTATATCTAGCATGGTTGGTATTGAAAATCGGTCATCGTTCTGGTATAGCTACCATATAATGGTACCACCGGATATTTGGTATTTTGATGATTTTCGCCACATTTTTTCACGAATATGCCTAAAAACTCGTTTAGTCTAGCCTCCATATAACATTTTTTTCAAAAATTGGTATTTGTAGTTCGTAATGGGTTCTAGCTGTGGTGGCGGAACATAGTATATATAGGTCCACGTTTTGGTATAGCCCCCACATAGTGGTACCTCCGGATATCCAGTTTTTTGTCACATTTTCCCACGGATTTGTCTAAAAATTGGTATTTATAGTCCATAAAGGATTCTAGTTCTGGTAGCAGAACATTAAATATTTAGGTGGAATACGTTTGAATGCAGATAATTTTTATAAAAATGTTTTTTTTTACCTTCATTAAGTGTTCGACCCGACCGAACTTATTGTTTTTTATTTGTTAAACCCTCAGATATATAATTTGATACGGTCAAAACAAGCCTCATCGAAATAAAGGTTTTATTTCCCACGGCTCTTTGGGCCAAATCCGTTTCAGGACATTTGGAGTCGATCTAGAGATGTCCGTCCATCCATCTGTCTAGCTAGATGGTGCGCACGATAAATATCAAAGGGAACATCCAGTTTGATTCAAATTTGGCACATTGTAATGTTATTGTCCAACTTAGGAGTTCGGAGGTGGACAATATAGGTCTACTCCTTTTGGTACCTCCCCCTCACAAATCGATATTTAAAAAAAAATATATATGTTACTGCACAGAAATTTGTAAATACTAATATTTGCATCAGTGCTAGGTCAGCCGCGAAAATGGACAATGTCGGTCCACTCCATCAAGTACCTCCCCCATAATAGGGTCAAAATTTGGAATAAATATAACTCTTATAAAATGTGATGTTAGTGTCCGATTGTCTTCAATTACACATATTACAATATATTTATTTACCAAAGGTCCGGTGTGAAGATGGAGTATATCGGTCCCCTCCTTTTGGTACCTTCCTCACAAAGGGTCAAACTTTTGAATAATCATGATGTTCGTAAAACGCGAAATTGGCATCCGATTCTTTTTCATATCAAATTTCATGCATGCTAATACTTCTACTTATGCAAGATCTGCTGTGAAGATATAGGACCACTCCTTCTGGTAACTGCCCCACAAAGTGTCAACATTTTAAATAAGTATAACATTTATAATATTTGAACCAAGAGTCCGATTATCTTAAAAATTCGCATATTTCAATATTTCCACTAACACTATACCTGGTGCGAAGAACAGATTGAAGTGACCACTCCTCCCCCACAAAGGGTCAAAATTTGGAAGACCCATTAAGTACACAAAATGCGAAACGAGCATCCGATTACTTTCAAACTCGCCACATCCCAAAAATCAGAAAGGATCATCTAACTTTGTACAAATTGTGCAAATTCCAATATCAGTGCTATTTCAAGTGCGAAAATGGATAAAAAACGAAATGAGCATCCGATTATTTTCAAAATCGGAACATCTCAATATTTCTATCAACACAAGATTAGGTGTGATAGTGGAGTATGTCTGAGCACTCCTTGTAGTACCTACTTCACAACGGGTAAAAATTTGGAATGGCCCAAACTCTCATAATATCAATACTCTCTCTCAAATATCAATATTTTGAATAATTTTTAGCCTTATAACAAATTTATTATAGCACTGTGTGACAGCAAAAATACGCACTTGCTTTAATGTTCCAATACTGGGAGGCCACAGATGACGAATGCGCCTTTTTTCTGGGTCACTTCGAAAATTGATGTTATGACAGAAAATACAGAAGAAATCCGATTGTCAACAACATATTCCTATTTCTTGTCTTTGAAAGGGTCTCAAACAAATAAAAAAAAAAAAAAAATATTTACTCGTCTATTTCTAAACCGATTTTAATGCTGCGTCCAACTTTTGAAAGCTTACACAATTTTACCAAAAATAAATAATACCACTATTTGGTATCAGCTTTGCACTGTAGAGCACGAAGAAACCCGTTTCCCTGTTTTTTTATGCATTTTTTCACACTTAAACCACTGCAACTTTGATATCTGTTAACAATCGATCACAACGAAAAAAAAAAAAAATAATTGAAATCCATTGTTGGAAATAAAAGTTACGCACGTTCAAAGTTGAAAATCCAAGAAACTAGGATTTTCTCTGTAAATTAGGAAATTAAATATCGATTTTTCCCAAATTCTCAAAAAAAAAAAAATGGTGATATCTATATTTTTTCCGAGGAATGGTTTTCTATATAACATCCAGTTAAGAAAAAAAAGGACAAAAGTCGGGATTGGCCAATTTTAAGTTGGTATTTGAAGTTTGTAACCGATGAAATAATTATATACTAGTTTTTTTTTTTTTTTTTGATGTATATTGCGGAGGGTACACGATATTAGCTTACGTAGTATTTGCATGCTCTGTTTATTTAATTTTATAATAATTTTGCTAATGCTGGTTTTAATTGTCGTTCTAAAAATATTTAAATTAAAATCCTTATAGAAAAAAAAATATATAAATTAATCTCCTCTCATTGGTACTGGGAAATTTAGCTTTACCCTTAAAACCTATTTTCTTTTGTTTGGACGATTCAAATTAAATAAATTTTATGATGATCACCATCATCATCGTCAACATATCAATTTCGTTACATCAAACAGACGAAAAACGGAGACAATGTTACACATACGTCAAGCGTTTGTGGTTTCCATGACAAACGTGACACTGTCGACATGACATTACGTTAATTTGTGTTGACAGTGGCGGCCGCACACAAGAAAAACACAGGCAACAGTCAACGGATGCATCTATTGGGAATGTTTTGGAAAAAAAAAAAACGAGGGGATTGGTGTTATTTTTAAACATAAGCAGGAATAAGAATTAATGAATACCAAGTAAATAGTTGGAAGCTAAATGGGGCGAATAATCTATTACAGCGTAATGTGAACAAACTTTTTTCTGCATACCCAAAAGGATGAAAGGATGTTTTTCCTAAGTTATAAAGCAAATCAACTTATTTTTCTAATTACCAACAACTTTAAATCACAAATAAAAATACTTATTTTATAAGTGGCTAAGAGCGGGGACGTTCAAAGAAATGCATAAGCATTTCCATGTAAAAAGTACAAAAATGTGAGAACGGACTCCAGCACCAAGTGCGTACCTACCAAGCTTAGAATGATAAATTGTTGTTTGGAAATCCATTATTTGGAATTGAGAGTTTCGGTTGGATGTATGTATCTAAGCATAAAATGTTCTAAATTATTAGTCACTTTGCCGGCTTATGTTTCAAGGTTTTTGTTTAAGAAGTTAATTTTTTTTTACAAAATGTAAGATTCTTAAAAAACTTTTCTTTTTCCGAGAAGTTTTTTTGGTCGGGCCCGGAATTCATTGTAAAAAATGTTTTGATCTGTAAAGGTCCCTTAAATATTAACACCTTAGGGGCACAGAACATTATTTTTAAAAATCTCCACTATTTTAATTATACCCTACAACACTATGTGTTGGGGGTATTATAAGTTTGATTAGGCCAAAAATTATGTAACACCTCGAAATATTGGTTTCCCACATAGGAAAGTATATATGGATCTTCCTAGCTCGCCGAGCTGAGTTGATCTAGCAATATATGTCCGTCCGTCGGTCTGTCCGTCTGTCCATGTTAATTTGTAATCACTCTACAGGTCGCAATTATGGCCCGATCTTCACGAAATTTAGAATGGAGGTGGGATATTATTTAGGGGTTGAAATGGACCAAAAACTTAAAAAAGTCATGATTTTGCAGTTGCAATTATAGACGAATCAAAGCGGAAGTTAGCATGGGGCTAGCCTTCCAATTTTGATGGTCATTGGGTAATATTTAGTGAGTGATATAGATCACAACATTTGTGTTAAAAAAAGTCAAATTTTCCAGTAAACCGCGAATATTTTAAATCCCAGGGATATCGGAAATAGACGAACAGGTAAGTTCTGACCGTTACGTAGATGCCGATAGTTAATATATCGGTTATATATAGCGAAATATACACAATGTGTACATACAAAGGAAGGGGATGTTAGTTAGAATGCTTATATCTCAAGAATGGCTGGACCGATTTTGACAAATTTTGTCAATTCAGAATGCCCTCTTGACATAAAAGTATAAAATCTAAAAAAATCACAGAAAAATATGCCAATAATTATGTTAATATAGATTTTTTAGTATTTTATGAATTTTTTTTATATTTTCATATTTTTTATCGCATGCTATTTTTTTCAATTTGACTTATAATATTTTGTAATATTTTTTCACCTTACAACACAGGTTGGGGTTTTTATATACAGATTGCAATTACCGTCCTATCCTAACGAAAATTTTCACAAGGGTAGGGTTAGGCTCAGAAGGAGCGGACCTATTGTTTTCAAGTATGTCCGCAATATATTTAGGGGTTGAAATCGACCAACAACTAAATATGTTCCTGACTTTACAGCCGGTATAAAGGTCACAATTAGAAACCAGAGGTCATGAAATCAAGCATGAAGTAAGAGTTTAGGACACCGGGTATAATGGACCACTACGTAAAAAAATACCAACTTTACT